CCCCGGCCCGCCCCTCGCCCCCACTTCCCGCTCCCCGCGCCTCCCCGCGCGGGCGCTGCTGCGTCCTCGAGGTCCCCGGCACCTTGCAAGTTTGGGGCCTGAGAGCGCAGCCCGAGCTGCTGGCCGGGGAGAGGACGATGTCTGTGCTCCGGCGGATGATGCGGGTCTCCAATCGCTCCCTCCTCGCCTTCATCTTCTTCTTCTCGCTCTCCTCGTCCTGTCTCTACTTCATCTACGTGGCTCCGGGCATCGGTGAGTACCGAGACGCAGCCTCCCCCCACGCCCGCCCGGGAGGAGCGCTGGCAGGGGACGGCACCCCGTCCCCCGGGGCCGCAGGGCGCAGTCGGTGCGAACTGTGCATTCAGATCCCCTGCTCAGGGGCATGGCTTTGCGGGTGAGCGTCGGTAAGGTGCGCTGGCATAACTTAGAGGATTGCAGTCCGTGCACGGCTGTGCAGCAAAATCAGGTGTGATGGCCTGGGGTGCACTGATCGCTTTTTAAAGTATTCATGACAGCCTTGTCCATTTAATATAAGTGTCTAAGCTTAAGCTCGCTGGCTAATTGCAGTTTTATTCAAACACCTTCAGGTATAATAGCTGCTTGTAGAAATATGGAAAAGCCGGCAGCAGGGCGTGTGATTGAGCCCGAGGGTGTACGCAGTCTAGTGTTCTAGGTCACTTTTTCAGAACGGGGTCAGTGAACAATTGTGCCATACTTCAGGAAATTTTAGGGGCTGGCTGAATCGTCCTATCAGAGCAGGGTTCTGGTATTTAGTCTGCTTTTCAAGGGTAGATTGTCTCTGCTACCTGTTAAGGTGCCTTCTAAGGTAAGGTAGCAATTAAAATAACTAGGTGAGGCGATTTGTAGTTTAAAATTGTAACGTTCTGTCTGGCATTTTTGGTCTTTGGTCCCAGATACACCATTGTTTAATCTACTTGAATGGGCTTTTTTATTAAATGTCCAAGTTCCTCAGTCCTCCTATTGCTGAGAAGTGCTGTGCCATGGCATTGTGTTAGTGATGAACGAAAAATCAGAATTTCATGTGGATATTCCAAAACATCACAATTTTAAAACATGTGACCTTTCCTGGTTATTGTGTATCTAAGGTTAAACGGCTTCGTGACGCTGTGTGCATCTCTGGTCATGTTTCGTTGGACTTTAGTAGTGTTTTGGGCCAGTGCCATTTTCCCCCGAGTGTTGCTTGATGCCTCTTACAGAGGGAAAACACTTGCCGAATTTTGAAATGGAATTCGTAACGGGCCATTGCTTTCGATGCAATGAATTGTCTTGGGGTAAACTGCAAAGAAGAAGGAAGCAGTAGACTTCATCCGGACTCAAAAAAAAATGAGTGGCTTTTTCATTATTAAGTTTTTAGATTCAGATAAGAAATAGACACTCAGGGAATGATGCTTAAGAAGGTGGGACTTGCTGACACCTTGATGTGTGTAGACGTTTTAGGGTAAAGTTTGAAGAAGTGTGAATATTTTACCATTGTTTTTCTTTAATGAAGTTTTCTCTTTAGGCAGACGACAACAGAACACCTTCTTGAAGCCTGAGATATTAATGACAGTGCTTTATATATTAACCTGAGTTACATCCGAGACTAAATTTTATGGCTGAAATATAAGTTGTGTAGGATTACTTCAAATTTGGTCCTGAATATGTTTCACGTATCTTCTGTTAAGACAAATCTGTATTAATCCTATTAAACGTCTAGTTTAATAGATGTCATGTATATTTCTCTACCTTTTCTGTCATGCTGTGGGTTTGATGCAGTATTATCCAACTTATTCAGCAAAGGCTTTTCTTAAATTAAAGAGGAAAATGGGACCTTTTTGGAAATCCTATAATTTAACTTCTCATTCTGTAGCAATTTTGCTTTCTCATTTAACTTTTGAAAAGTTGAATGTCTTCGGTAGATGTTATTCGACCAGCCATTTAACTTTGGAAGATTTTGGAGAAGGTTTTTTTGTATTTATACAACAATTTTCTTTCTTCGTATTTTGAGTAATGTGTTGAAGTTATGTCACTGAAAAACTTAACCAAAGGAAATCAGAATTCCAGGTTTTACTGTGACAGTCATCCTATTTTGTGGGGTAGTGGTGTATTAATGTTGTCTGTTTTCTCTTACAGTGATTTTTCAGATCTTTTTTGGACCCAAAAATCATTTCAATGATTTTTCAGAAACTTTCCTTATTTTAAAGTTCCTTGAGAAGAAATTTCACTTTCTAACTCCAGTGTACATTAAATAAACTTGTTTAAGCAGTCAGAATATAAATGTAGGTAGAATTTTGACACTGTATTTAATCCTTATACTCTAGGAGGCTGAGTCAGGAAGATCTCAAGTTCAAGCTCAGCGTGGGTAACATTTTGAGACCCTGTCTCAACATAAAAAAAAAAAATTAAAATGTGATCTCTAGAGTCTTAAAATTAAATTGTTGTGAAATACCAACACATTTTTATTTGAATGTTTAATGTTTGCCATAGAATAATCAGTGGGTAATGTAATAAAAATTGTGGCAACTTTCTTTCACACAATTAAATTGATAACGGTTTTAGCTACTGTGTTTTATTTATTTATTTATTTATTTATTTTTTTGAGACAGGGCCTCCATGTGCAGTTCAGGCTGGCCTTGAGCTCACTTTGTAGCCCAGGCTGGTCTCGAACTTGCAATGATGCTCCTGCCTCAGCCTCCCGAGTGCTGGGATTACAGGTGTGCACCACCATGCCCAGCACTACTGTGTTTTTGAGAGTTTTATAATTTTTAATTGAAAAAGAAATGAAAGCCAGTAAGAAATATAGTTTAGTTGGGCATGGTGGCACATGTCTGTAATCCCACCACTTGGGAGGCTGAGGCAGGAGGATTGTTGAAAATTCGAGACCATCCTGGGCTACAAAGTGAGCTCAAAGAAAGCCTGAACTACATAGTGAGGCTCTGTCTGAAAAAGACCAAAAAAAAAAAAAAAAAAAAAAGAAAGAAATATAGCTTAAACAAACGTGTGTGTAAATGCTGTGAATTTGTTAAACCAAATTTATTTACAAAACCTTGTGCCACTTAGCAAAAAGAAGAAAAGAAAGAAGCTGCCTTCTTATTTATCTTCTGTGTGTATCTTTAATTATTGGGAAGTAGTTTTCCAAAATTCACATTTTTGCTAGAAAGCTTGAATTTTTTCATTGGCATCAAATTTTGCTAGTTTTTCTTGACGAGTCAGGCTCACTTTCTTCATTTTTGAGAGGCACAGGCTAATCTCAGCATAATGTGTCAGTTGTTCTTTCAGGTAAAAATGTTGTCCCATGACAAATGTGGCTAGTCAGTTCCCATTGCAACAACCCATTGTGCAAGTGCTTTTCCTTAATACGGCTGCGGGCCTCTGGTATGCCGCAGAAATGTTTTCTGTCTACTTCACATTTCATCATGAATTTCTTACAGTTTTCATTAGATGTGGAGAGTCTTCTTAAAATACTTTATATTTCATCCAGACCTGTATCTCCAGGCAACATTTTCTTGTGACTAAAGTGTATGTTGTGTGGAAATACTTTTTATTGATTTTAAATATTATTTATTTCAAGGCTCTTCCGTAAAGAAGTGCTTACTACTCCTAGCACATCAGCCTGTTTGGTGGATGTCAGTTACGTCTCTGGGCATTCAGGTGCAAACATCTGGGTTTGTCCTGTCTTCAGGCAGGCACTCCATCGTTTTACTTTCCCTTTCTTGGTCTCCTTCCTTTGGATTCTTCTCTCCCTTCCGAGCAGATACACCACACAGTTGTAGACAGTGATATTTGTTCAGTTTCCAGTTTCTTATACTGTTTAGCGTTTCCTGGGCTTTTGGAGTAATAGTCTATGGTGAGTTCCATGGGACACAAGCTTGGTTTATATGAATAATATATCATTTCCCCTTGAGATTTCTGATTCATGCAGGAAATCAGGGGTAGTCCTTACGTCTGAACCTCAGCACCGAGGGAGCCTGGACGGCAGGCACGCTCCCTCTGGCTGCCTCATTTAGAAGTCCATAGATGTGCATAGATGTCAATAGAAGTCCATAGATGTCCCAGACTACCCAGCAGAGGTGTGGGTTGTTTCTCATTCTGTGTGTGTCTTTGTGCATGATTGCAGAGGGAGTGCAGTTTCCTTCCCTGGTTTTGACTTGGCTGAATTGAGACTAGGATAGCTTCTAACAAAACGCAGTCCTTTTCTGCCCTCACATCAAAGGAGAAGGTGAGCTGACTTACAGATTCATTTAACAGATAGGACTGGAGCAGCCAGGGTGGCTGGACACCGAGGCGTGGAAGATGAGATCACTAACACAGTCATCCTTGGGCTGAGCCCCATGAAAGAGCTGCCGCAAACGCTTGGAAAGCATGTGGAGTGAGGGATGCCAGTTGCAGTGGGCAGCAGTTGGGAGTTTTCTCAGTTGAGCCAAGGGATTCTGGTCAGAGGGAACAGCAAGAATGAAGTTTCTAGAATGTGGAAGTACCTTGCTTCTGTCTTAGGATGTGTGGTGGCAGAGAGGCCACATTGGGTAAGCTTTCCAGGGCTCCCAAGCCTTACCTAAACCGTCTATGATTAAGAAATCTCCCGTGTCTTGGGGAGATTGCATAACTTCCCTGGGAGGGGATTTCACAGTTCATTTGACCCACAGAGTTCCTGACCTTGCCAGACACACTGACAGCCTGCTTTGTTCTTTGATAGGGGTGAAGTCCAGCTGGGCCACTTTGCTCTGGGTTCCTTCCTGTCCTTTGAGGACTTACCTGACCAAGGCCTTGGTTATTTTGGTCTCCAAGGGAAGCTCGGAGCTGGTGCTGATGGTGCTTAGGGTGTGGGCGGTACCGGTGTGTACCAGCACGTGGATGCTGGGGGAGGTGGCTTAGTTAGGTTCCCGCTGACGTTTTCATTGAGATTTTCTCTGAGTTACCTCAGAATGTAGCTATTTGTCCTCTGGCTTTCTTGTGATAGTCCTTTAACCTTCAGGCTGGAAGAGCCTGCCTCTACTCTTTCTGAGCTATTTTAGTTTGCTTTCGTTTCAAAGGTCCTTGTAGTTTTTCCTCACCAAGTGTTTTGATCTATGTAATGCTTTGCTTCGGGTTCTTGTGTTTGGGCTGTGGTACTGGTTATCTTTATTCTCTGGGTGTTTTAGTTACTTTTCTCTCTTTGCTGAGAAAAATACCCAACACCCAAAGTTAAAGGAGGAAAGGTTTATTTAATTCACAGTTGGTGGAGCTTTCAGTCCATAGTCACCTGGCTCCAAGGC